AAAGCCCTGGAATAGTTTTCATTCATTCATGCATGCATTCAGCTAGTATTTAAGGCAGGTCTACTATGTGCCAAGCACTATATTAGGTGCTAGAGTTACAGGGACAAAATAAGACAAGGACCCTTACCTTCAGGGAGCTCACAGCTCAGCAGGGGAGAAAACCGTGACATTAATGCACTATAATACAGTGTAATGGGTGGACAGTGGTTAAGGAAAAGATCATGGTGATGGAAATGAAGAGGGGGCAGATAGAAAAGCAAAGGCCAGGAGATGGGAGGGGTGATCCTGACACATTGAGGAAGCTTGAAAGTTTTGAAGTCTATTAAACTTTGATTTTGAATACCTCTAAGTAAATCATGCACATTTCCTCAGCAAGCACAGAATGTACCACTCCCTGTTGCCTTATACTGGGCCAGATTAACGTAAATGTGTTATCTGGCTGGCCTCTGGCACTCCTGGCTTTTGTGTGTGATTCCTGAGCTAGGTCAAGGCCATAGACATACTACCTAGTCCTACAGGTCGACTGCAAATGTGTGAGGGGTTTTTGGTTGTCACATAACTGGCAGGTGCTACTGGAAGTTGTGACCCAGGACTGGAAGATGTGCTCCACATCTTGCAATGACTGGAGGAGTTGCTTACAAGGAAACTTTGCCTATCCCAGATGCCCACAGCACCTCCTTTGAGAGACTCTAGGTCAGATCATGTCATGCTGTAACATTTGCACTTTAACCCTAATACTTATTGTCTGGCTCTACTTGAATTATTAACTTTTTAAAATAACTAAAAACAAGAGAACACACACACACTAAGAAAAGAATTCTACAGAGAGTCTTTACATTGATGCTGAGAAAGAGACAACATGTTTGGCTACATTTGAAAGAAAGGCAATATTTTCTTCCCTGAAATAGTAGCAGTATCTGGCTTCATAATAAAGAGTCTTTGTAAAACCAAGATGTTCTTTCCCCCTGCGATTTCCTATCATCTCCTCATTAGAGAAACCAGAAGGAAAGCTATCCAAAACCACTTTAAAGGATTTAGCTTTTACATGTGAAGTTTCTAGCATCACCCTCATTTTGATGGTAGTAAGTGTTGTAGTGGGGATGAGGGTTACCTATTGGACAAATCAGGAAACAGAACAGTGTAATGGAAACATTTCTGGTTGGCCCTGTGGGGCACAGACCATACTGGGGGTGGCTCAGAGCCACTAAAGTTGACATTCACCATTTCTATAGTCTCTCTCCCAGTGTAAAATCCAGGAAAGGAAATTATAATTGTAATACTCTAGGCAGCTTCAGAGAGTGTGTAGAAAAGGACAAATGATGTGTATCCTGGGATTCGAAGGCAAGTCGCAGATATTTTATATAGACTTCCTGACCCCACAGAAAGTGATGAGGAAAAGTCTGCTCCCCCAGGGATGATCCTGGGAAGTGACTGCTGAGGAGCACAGCCTTGGTAAAATGCATAAAGATGGACAAGAATTCTGTGATTGAACCATTATTTCATTTTTTCAGCAGGCCAAATAGGTGGGAAAAAGAGACAGAAATGCATCTTCACATAACTGTGATCATTAAAGAGCTGCTGTAAGGGGGCATTCTTAAGTTCGAAGGGTGGAAGTTTCCTATTAGGTTTTCTGACCAAAGCACAAAACCAGGATTGCTATGTATCATCCCCCACTTCCCTTACTGCCAACCTGCCTGAAAACTAGCCCCTTCTTAACGCCCCACTCTGTTACTCCCACTCTCGTCAGGCTGCTTCTGCAGCTGGGAGGATTCTCATACCACATTCACTAGGGAATCCACTTGCAGCGCAATAGACTCTTTCATTCTCACTGTCCCATTGCCTTTTGTCAAATGCCCTCATTCATGCAGGATTTACTGAGATACCACTAGATGCAGGCATTATTCTAGACCTGGGTGAAAACAGCAATAGATAAGAGAGGCAAGAGCCTAACTCTTGTGGAACTTAGAGTCTAATGGAGTTGGGGGTGGGGGGATAAAGAACAGGATCTAACCAACTAGCAAAAAGATCTATAAAGAAAGTCAAACAGGGTACTAGGTGGGTACTAGGGTCAGACCACCTGGCTCTGCCTCTAATTAGCCAGGTGGCCTTAGAGGAGCTGTGTCATCTCCTTGTGCCTCAATTTCCTTGACTGTGAAGTGGAAATAATAATACAACATGCCTCACATGTTTTCTTGAGGGTTAACGAATTAATAAGTGCTCTTTCTAAGTGTGTAGAACAGTGCCTGGCATTAATTGAGAGCTCAGTAAGTGTTAGCTGCTGATTCATCACTTACATTACTATTCTCATTATTACTTACAGTGGGTGGTGAAGAAAGGCCTGCCTGAGGAGGTGGCATTTGAGGTGAAACTTAAATGATGAATAGAAACCGGCTGAGGAAAGATATGAGGGAAGACCATTCCACGCCAAAGGAAAAGCAAGATGGGAAAGAGGTTGAGAGGTTCCCAGGAAAAGGAGAAAGGGCCGTGTGATGGGGGCATGGTGGATGATGGGGAGAATGCAGAGAAATGAAGTCAAACTAGTAAGCAGGGCCAGATCAAGTGGGGCCTTGTAAGATATAGAATGCCTCTCTGTTTTGTCAGTAACTGGAAAGTTTACCCATCCACACGGACTGTAGCAGACTGTTGTCCCCACAAAGGTAACCTACGCCATAACATAATCACTAGCATTCAAATAGAGCTTTGCGTCTTACTGACAATCCCAAAACACTAGGTGGGTAGCCAAAGGCCTTTGATGTGGTCCTTACTGGTTAAGTAACAGAAGACCAGTGACTTAACTTCTCTATATTTGTTTCACAATCTGCAAAGTAAAATGGGTTGAATTAGATGATCTCTAAGGTCCTTTCTAATCTGTGATTTTATATCTCCATTCTTGAATTCCCACTACATATGAAAACAGATCTAGGCCAGTAGAGCTACTACATACTTTATAGAAAGCTTTATCCTCTTTTTATATATCCTATGAATGAGAGTGTTAATTAGAAAATAGTAATCTTCTCAAGTTATACTGCACATCAAAGTGAAAACAGCAGCCAAAATTTGCCTGCTCTAAAACTCTGATTTTACAAGAAAATCTTATCTTCTGGTAAACAAGTGAGCCAAACCAACCCGGAGCCTTCTCACTCCTTTCTGTGTGGGATTAATAGCAAACACCTTATCATAAACATTTTGGAAAGGTCAGAGATGGCAACAATTTTGCTAAAGAGATAAACAGTCAAATAAAACACTGCTTTGGTAATTTCAGGGCTTCAAAAAACTGCATTAGTCTGATCAATAATGAGGCACACAAAAGGGATTGTGGGATAAAGGGCGGGTCCAGTTTGAGGTATTGAAAACTTGCCTAAATCATTTTTCCCCCCAACACATCTTGTGTTGCAGCTAATACTAGAAATTCAATGGTCGACTCATACTTACAGTGTTAGAAAAATAAGATTCTGACTATGAAGCAAAAATTGTTTTAGGTTGGAGAAGTAGATAATAGTAAGAATAAGGAGTTTTGCAAAAGCCAAGGTAAGAATATTTTTCCTCTGTAATAAATCAACTGTTGAGCTTAAATTTTGAATGTTATTTTAAATTGTATTTGTTATTATTTGCTTTTACCCTTATCCTAGCACAAACTACAAGAGTTCAAAGGCAGCTAACTTATTCCTAAAATGTATGTGTTTATATTTTAACTGTGCCTTAAAAATAGCATGTTTTATTCCTATGTTCCTACCTATTTAAGAGTAAATTTAATTTTTGTGCCCATTGAAGAGATAGATTTCTTTTCTAAAATTTTAATTGTAAATTTTAATTTTTTAATGAAGGCATTTCCAGTGCTTAAGGCAGATTTTATATTCCTGGTCAAAGTATTTTATCACTCAAACTGCATTTTACATTATCTACCATCTGCTCGTATTAAGAAAGCTCTATTGTCTGTTAATGTCTACCAAACAATTAAGAAAATCTAAGTGAAACCAGAATAAACTCAAATAAATAAGTGGGTCAAAAAAATTGAGACCATGTCCACTTTAGAAGGGCCGCCTTTGTGAGAACTCGTTTCTGCCTAAAAGATTTAATTTATCTTTTTTAATGCCTTCAAAGTTAATAATGGATGCCATGTCTTATAGCTTCAGTGATGCAGCAACGTGTCAATAACAGAGAGTTTAGAAATCAATTCATAATTTTTAATTGGACATTGGATGTTTAATTTTAAGTCATTAGACTCTCCAATAACAAAACCCTAGAAAGAGAGAGTTAATCCATACAGAAATGGGTAACTGTCCCTTATCTCTTTAATGAACAACTCAGAGTTTCTGTTCTACCTCAAAAACAGGTGGCACTTTTCACTTTGAGGCTTTTTTGGGCGAGCTGAGGATAAGGTATGTGGAGTGGAAGGAAGTAAAGTGAAAAACAAAAGAAGAGGCCCTATGTACAACATATACAATTACTTATATAGTTAGATACATAAGTATATAAACTTATATATGTATATTTATGAAATATTTATATATAATGTATTTATATATTTAACTTATCTTTTTACATATTTATGTATATTTTGTTATACATATGTGTACTTGACAAATACCTTTCTCCCAGCACCCAAATGATTCCAATATACTCTGGGCAAACAGGAAGGAATGCAGCTTTCCCTTCTTTCCTTATTCAGAAGGGAGGTAGAGTGGCTAAAGGATTTCTCTGTGTCTCAGTTTTGCACTTACTGGTAAGGCTGCCCCACTGCTCACATATTTGCATATTGATATTCCATTATCCATTGGATGTCCACACTTGAAGGGATCTTAGTGATTATCTAGTGCACCTTATTCACTTCACAGTTGGGGAACCAGAGGCTCAGGGACACTACAAGACCTGTCCAAGGTCACACAGCCAGTTAGAGACAGTCAGTCATCCTCCTGACTCTCATACCAGCAATCAGTCCACTCCACCAAGCTCCTCTGGTCTCCTCTGCCCAAGAACACACCTTCTGACACTCAAAATGGAGAAATTAATGAGTCTGCAAGTTAAAGATTCATTTTAAACAAATTGGTTCATTATTATTTAATTGAGGAGGCTTCAGAGCAATAAAAGGCTTACTTACCAAAACTAGATGAGCAGCTCATGAAACATTGAGCTCAAGAAATGCAAAAACTGTCACAAGTCAATAGGGGCTGCTTTTCTCTTTGATAAATGTCACCCAATAGCTTCAGAAGTATCAGAAACTAATGGTGTCTCAGCACTCCGTAGGCATACATTAATGGGATCAGGAGCATAAAATATAAACTATAATGTACATATTGATTGTTCCGGACATTTGAGGCCCAACAAACATTTGAAAGGTCAGTCATTTTACTTGCATCAAATTACAGATAAGTCATTTGCTTGATGCTGGAAACTTGGCTCTCCATGTAAATTTAGCTCATGACCTATAAACTTACTCATGCTATACCTCTTTTAGCTTCCTTAGGTTGTCTAGCATGAAAAATATTTCATAAGTGTCTAACCCCACAAAGCACATATAAATAAATGACAATATACATATATCCAGGAAGGATAATGTGTCAGAGAAATCTATTCTGTAGGCTGAATAAATGTTATGAAGCAGCATTTTACTCTGACAGAACATATTCAAAGGTTTCAGTAAGCTCAATTATATGAGCTTACAAATGAATATGTATGTTTTCAGGATGTTTCGAGAATATACAAATTTAGGAAGTACAATGTCATAATTACTTTTACTTTTACCTAAAAATTAAAATTTGGTTTGATCAGTTCATACTAGAGTTTAGGTAGGCTTTTTTTAAAATAAAGGACTTATTCCAAAACAGAATTTAAAAATTTGAAGGTTGTGTGGATGTCCACGTAGAAGCCATGTACCTTTACTGGCAATTTCACACCCTCCAGAGTTGAGCTTTTACCTGCAGTTTCTCTGGTGCTCCTATGTCTGGATAAACGGGATAGTAGAAAAAGACAGTTCACAATCCCATAGCCCCAGTTCCTCCCCTGAAGTAATAGGTCCCTCTTTGGAATCAGTATCCCACTACTGACTTTTAAAAAGGGGAAGAAGGACTCTGAAAGGTTGAAAAAATTTGAAATTTATGCCCCTTTATGAGCATCAGCAAGACTTGGAAGTTTTTCACCTTCCCTTTAACAAAGGTTCCAATTATCCTAAGCTTGGAGAATACCTTCATTCTCTGTTAAGGAAGGTTGTCAGGGTAAGAACCAAGCTTTCAGCGATGTTTGCCACCAACTAAAGGAATGAGGGGGGCCAGAAGCCAGACATTGTCCTCTGTAAGAGGCCTTGCAAAAATTACTGGGATTTCCTCTGGCAGAATACATTCCTCTATCTGGAGAAGAATGAAAATATACCTGCCTTTAGGCTGACAGTTTAACCCTAATTATTTTCATGTATTTCCTTTGAGTAAGGTGACCAGATTTCCTTTTTCAGAATTTTGCATTATATGAATCTTTTATACTGATTTGTCCATAATTCTACAACAGCTAAAACCAGCCATTTTGAAAATCAGATTTCCTTACTCATGAATCATACCAGTTTTAAAAACACTTTTTAAACTCAAATGATGTTCATTAGGCAATTGATAACCACTGTAAAATCATATTTTTAATTTACATTAAAAGACCATAATTCTAGTGATACGGCAGAATTAAAAAATCTAAAGGAAAATAATGATAATTTACTTGGTAGCCAAATGACCTGATTTTAATGTTAAATGCCTCATTTTACAGTTTCCTAATAAAATAATTATTTACAGAAGAGATTATTTTACTTTAAAATATGTATAAAACTTTAAATGAACAAAAGGAATTAATAAATATCAGTTAAACCAAAACCCAATTATTTATTTGGTCAAAAAGGAAAGAACATTTCAAAGACAGACCTTTTGCTTCGTGCTTTAAGCAGATTCACTATGAATACAGTTCATAAACGTAAATTGTATTCCATTAAATAAAATAAATAAGCTTGCATTATTGTTTTCCTGCTATTTAGATTTTAAAAGTTTCCAAAAATCTAAGTAGCTCTAACATCTTTTGTCACAATCAAAACTCAATTAAGTCGATCATATTAATATTTTGAGTGAAGAAAATTCATGGCCCTTAATAGTGACTACATTTTTGATAAATAAGTTATATTCTAAAATCTAGGCTGTAACTTCATTTTGTTCTGAAGCCATTAGAAGGAGGATGTTTATGCAAAAGAAAACAGCTTTTAAGTGTAAACACTATCTTTTAGCATACCAAAAGTGTATTATTTTTACCAAGTTAACTTTTAACTACATGAGATCTGCTGGTTAAGCATCCTCTGGAAAGTACTTCTCTGTATTCCAAAAATGATTTTCTGCACTTTAAATTTTAAACTGAGACTTTGATGATCAGTGAATGAGAAGAAAAACTTTTGAGACAGAAGAACCCTGCTTTCCCACTACTTACAATAAGATACATACAAAGAAAAAAGTTGAAAGTCTTGTCTTTACTGTATCAAAAACTGTTCACACATTCTAAAATGCAGGCTTATAATGGCACTTAAGGACAGAGCCACTTGCACTATCAAGTTAAAGTTAGTGCATAAGGAGGTCTTCAGAGCAAAATAAAAAGTAAAAGTACATTTGTCATATTCTCTCTTGAAATGTTTCCTTGAAAGACGTACTAATCTTTCAAAGTTCAGGTCGAATGCACAGACTACTTTTCCTCTCTTCCCAATCTAGAAATCTTTCTTCTTGAAAACGTAGCATGCAACTCTCTGGGCAGTGACCCCACAGGGCCCGATGGCTGTGTACTTCCAAGTACTACTCATGACATTTCAGTTTCAGAAAAACGAAACTGGGCTATCCATATCACCTGAGTTTCAAAGGACCGTTCCCTGCCACAGTACTCACTAAACTTAAAGATTTCCTTTTGACATGAGGCTCGTGGTGATGTGAAAAGGGAAATGAGAGTCCCTACTGGGACTGTGAACATCCTCACATTTGTGAGACCAACTGCCACACTCCAGGCTTTTCTTGTTCCCTGACAAGGCTTGTCCCAGCCCTCTCCTGGGATGCTTTTGACAGTGACTGCAAACAACAGAAGCCAGCAGGAGTGTGTAAGAACAGGTGCTGGAGCCTCCCGGGGCAGCCTGCGGGCAGAGAAAGGGCCTCCTCAGAGTGCTGCCGGGACATCTCACTTCGGAGATGCCCTCTTGCCCTCAGTCATTGCAGGATCTTGCTTTTCATGCAGCAGATGTTTGGAAAGATTTGTAACAGTGCATTATGGCTTCTAAGTCGCTGCTGGCAGATTTTCTTGGTTAGCTTTTAAGGGGACCTTGGTGGAATCTCTGACAATATAAAACAAGGATGGAAAAGGTCATTCTTGCATTTATGGTCAGATAAAGGAAATGATAAGAATGAAAGGTTAGGACTTTCCCTATTAATTATTCCATTATTCCAAGTCATTGCCTCCTACTTCCTCCTACATGTCAGGAAAAGGGACATTTCTAGGCTTAGGGCATCTGCAGCATTCAAGAAGAAAGAGAG